TTGGCTTATCCTCTTCAAAATTTTCTATTTAGAAAATAAAAATTTTCCTATTACAAGAATTCTAAAAAATTTTTTACAATATGACAGAGAGTAAACATTATTAATTACGTGACATTGTTTGCATTTTCGATTACACTTCAAATGTTGTGACATCTAGGTTCTTGCTATGTAAAGGGAAAGGTAGTACCATACAAATTTATAAGTTTTACCTTACCATTTTTCCGAATACGAAAATCATTTCACGAAAATCGGATTACATAGTAAGGCATCTGTAGACACCATTAAAAGTTACAGCGTTTTTGTTATCTGCAATAACGCGCATTTTACATGCGTAATCGATACGCATAACGAAAAAAGTTTTTAATTTTGAATATGGCATTGGCGTCTTATTTTATAATAACAAAATACCCCCTCCCCCATTGTTTTAGTCGTTTTACAAATATTTTATTCTATGACATCCACCTAAAGCATGTTGCAAACAGGATAAACAAAACGAAATGTATATTTGTAATATTGTTTTTTACTGAAATAAAAATCTATGTATGTTTATTTATTCCGTGATGAACTATATCACAAGACAGAAATGCTAAATTAAATAGGTAACACTATATGGGGGGGCACAAAAGCAAAATAGCCTTACCATCAATTCCAAAATTTTCGTTTGTTTTTAAATGTCTATAAAAATAAGTCAAAAACTTATGTGCATAGATAATGAATTCGAATTTCGTTTGCAAGTGCCGCAATTTTTTTACTAAACGAAAAATTTCAATTTTCCAAGAAGCAAAGTGGTTTAACCAACAAATTGTCGGTTAGGCAATCTTGGCGCTAATGAAAATAAAACTATAAAAAGCAACATGTGAATTTGGTCACATTGGTAATTGAAATAAAATAAAAATTGCATTAAAATTTATTAAATGCTTACTATTATTATTTACTCACATTTTAAAAACCGGTTTATGTTTATCAAAAATTATTAAAGAAAATATTATAATAAAATGCATGTTATGATATTCGCTTGCAATTATGTAAAATAGATACGTACGTTAGTACTGTAAGACTTGTGTTAAGTTTTAGTAGGAACACATGGTTGATTTTATATTGTAAAATAAAAAAATTGTGTGATCAATTTAAAAAATGTTTAATATGCAAACTGATGATGGTAAAAATATGTAAATTTATATATTTTATAAGTATAAAAACAATTTTACAAAAAATTTAGAATTAAGTTTTTTTTGCGGTTTCGGTTCAGAACAACTTCTATCTAATCAAAGTTCTGGTTCAATGGAGTCTTTATTCCAGTAACAATATTGAACTGAAAGTACACTTATTTTACTGTCTTCAATCTTGTAGAAAAATGTTTCCATTGTGTATAGACGCAAATGAACCAATTGAGAAATCGAGGAAATGAGCAAGTCTGCAATCAAATACATTGGGAAACAAAAGAAAATTTTTCTAAAATTTTCGGAGTCAATTATAAGAATTCTGAATAAATCTATATAATTAGAACTTTATATATGTACATACGTACAATATCTATTAAAAAATTTAATTTATTTATAATTGACCAAATTGATGTTGAATGGTTTGGAATAATATAGCAACAAATATTGCTCTTCATATTTATAAATTTATAAGATTTAGGCGCCAAGAAAATTTTCGGATCTTATATTCGAAGGCATATTATTTAATAACTTGTTTATTATCATTGTATATATATATATATATATATATATATATATATAGTTTATAGTGATATACAAAAGATATTTTTTGTAATTACACAACGAACTACTTGTAGTTTACAGTGGGCGCTAGTGAGTAATAAGTTTGAACTTAGATTAGCATTCAAAGAAAGTAGATTATTAAAATGTCTGTATTATGTATGTCGCTATAAACTATAGTATTAATTTTTTTTCCGTTAACATCAATTTTATTATCCTTATAATTTAATGTTATCATGTTTTTTTTCATTATTTTAGCGACCGTATATTGCAACCAATATTTAAGAGATGTATTCGTCAGTATTATGGAAGAGTCACGAAACTGCTTTTTTGAAAGTTTTGAGTTATATATACAGAAAAATTCACAATATTCTAAACTATTTTTATAAAAACCGACTTAACTCTAACGTTAGTGTTTTCGAAAAAATTACGTTGTAAATTTTACACGTATACGCAAAACTCAGTTTCGTGATTATGTCAAATTTTACACACATATATGAATATATATCATACTTTCAATCTATATTTTAGTTCAAAGATATCTTTGTCTCACAGATTCAAATTTAGAGCTAATCCACTACGTAAATTTTTATTTCATATGGATACTACACACAGGTATCAAAAGAAATGATCATATTAGAAAGATATATTTCTTTGAAAAGAAATAGTTTTTGGAGAAAAGGAAATATGAAATTCGGTCATTTATTATGCTAAGCATATCAGTGTTTTTTTTTTTGCTCTCTGTAATACTTTTAAATAAAATTATTTACTATTCGTAAAAGTGGTATCCCACTTTCAATAAGGTTTTTTCTTCTTGTCTTCGTTCTTTTTTTTTTTTTTGGTCTGCTTCTTTGTTTTTTTGAGTAATGGATTATCATTGTCAGCATAAACTGCGCGATCCCATCTGTTATTTATATTTTAACAAATATTTGACATGACACGTTATATTATGAAGAATATTATATCTTGAAAAAGGAAAAGTAAATATGAGAAAAAAATAAAAAATTCCAAAGCGTGCATACCACAAATTGTTTAAATTTTACAGACTTAACATATTTCCCTATACGTGAATAATCTTTACGAAACGTTTTAGTTCAGTTATGAGATCTGCCTGCTTTTTTTTCTTGGTGGATTTTTAAACAAACTTCAAAAGAATGAAGTTAAAAGATCCATCAAATCAAATCATCGTCTTCATCGTTCACTTCTTTTTTTGGTTTTTTTAGTTCTTTTTTTATTTGAAAAGGTCCCTCTTTCTCTATGTGCTATGTGACGTTTTATTTTAAATTTTTTTGTTTCTTTTTTTCTTTTTTCTTCAATCTATAATTAATTTATATTTTTTTAAGGTGATTGTATGATGGAATGAACCGAGCTACCGGAATATAAAATTTGTTCTAATTTTTTTTTGTTTTTTTTTTTTTCAAAAATTTGTTTTTAAAAATTTTTTTTTAAAAATTTGTTTGAACGAGTAACATCAGTAGCCAAAAAAAAGAAAAAAAAAAGAGAAGAATCAAGTTTAGTGGTCTCTGAACAAAAAATATGTTTAGGATTTTAATAAAAAAAATTATGACAAGTCTTTGTACTGAGATAGTTTTTTTTGTACCTACTTCAATAAAAATTGAAACTATAACCAAAGCCTATAAATTTACTGAATGAATACAAAGTAATTTACAAAACTTGAACTAAATTTTCAACTGAATTAAACAATAAAGAAAGAATAAAAAGAAGGCGTCATCTTTAAAAGCTCATAAATTAAAAACAAAAAGTTTGGTCAAACCAAACATAATGTATTTTCTAAAATTACTTTCATTCATATACGAATATATGTATACATACCAAAGATTGTAAACATTTAATATAAAATCTTTGAAAGCAAAAAAAAAAATGTAAAGAAGCGTTAGCTTAATACTCGAATTTAAGGCTTAATTGCGTGAGTTAAAGAAAATAATTATCTGCATTCATAGAAATTTGATAAAACTTCCAGTTTCGAAAATATGAGAGGTGATAACTTGAGGGGGGGTGGACGCTGAAAAATATTTTTTTCTAGCTAAATGAACTATTCATTATAAGTGTCTAAATTTCAGACTCCTAAACCTGTGATCTAGAAAAAAAAACAATATCAAAAATTTGGAAAAACCGGATTTTAAATAACGGTAAATTAGTCTCTAGTAAATTAGTAAATTAGTATTAGTCATTTTCTTTTTTTTAAGTTTAAATATGGTATACCGTGGTAGAAGAAATCAGAACGATTCAAGGCACAATAATTAAAATATTTTTCCCTCTGAAACTGAAGTCGAAGTCAGTCAGGTACCCCGCTTTTTGGACAGACTTTTTCCAACTGACCTACAGAGCTATGAAGACATTTGATCAGCTCCATATTGCTCCTCTTTATATATATATATATATATTGTATTTGTCATGATGAAGAATGACAGTTGAATTCTGGTTTGCAATTCTTCCAAACATCGGCAAAAACAGTTCGTTCTTGTATAGTATATAATAAGTAAATGTTATCAGAAAAAAAGTAAATGTTATCAGAAGTCAATATCATTATTTTTTTGACAAGCTATAATTTTTATTGCCAATGCTGCTTTTGTAGATCTATTACACTGCAGTTTTAACTAACAAAATCTTTTCAAGCTAGAAATGTAAACGCGGATTCAACCGATCGAACTTATTCATATAGAAATTTAGCTTATAAGGTATAATTGCTGAATTGTGTACTAATACCGTATTCATGCAAATTTTAAATTAAACCTAAATAAATTATTGTAAAAATAAGAACTTGGCCGAAAACTTTGGATTTACAATATTTTTCTGTGTATCACTATTTAGCAGGGTTAGCAATATGTAGCTGTATTTCTGTTTTATTATGCTAACTATGCATTTATTACGTGGGTAAATTTAAAGAAATTTTAAAATTTATTCAATTTGAAATTTCAATATTTGTGAAATTTTTAATTTTTTTTATTATTTTTATTAACGAATTTTAAGAATATTAAAAAACGGTACAACTTCTTAATAATTACTTTATTTTAAATGATTATGTAGTCATCAATTACGAAATAAAACATATAAAATGAGGAACCAGAAAAGCATTACAAGTCAAATATTAAAAAAAAAAATTTTTTTATTTTACTATATTTCTTGTTTTGCAGTTTTTTGGTTCTCACATTAAAACAATATAATAATAAGAACAACAATTAAAATATCCTACAATGTATATATTATTCAATATGTATGTCTATTATATAAGAATATAATGTATTTATAAGTACTTACACTTGGTATATTGTCACTATTACAAACTGCTTCCGACAGTAATCGATCACGAATTTCCCAAGCAAATATACTAGGACATTCACGTTTATAATCAGCAATTTTTTGTACTACAGGAGTTGTTGCCACCCGTGGTTTTGAACCACCAATAGCCCGTGGTTTTATTGATCCTGTTTCATAATATCTGGAATATTAAGAAAAAAAATTAAACACAAAAATTAAGAAAAAAATTTATATTTAAAGAGATTTACGTATATATGTATATAAGTATGTACTGAATATACAATATGAATTATTTAAATAATAATAAACAATTCAAATAATTTTGATGCCTAATATACAATATATTTATGCACATAATAAGACACACACATAAGTATATGTAAATTGGGAATTCCATGTTAATCACCGAAGACATTCGAAAAGATTGTACAAGAAAATCATATCAAATATATTAGAAATATTGAGTGTCTACTAAAATGCAGATCAGAATGTTTTACTTATCCAGCATTCCTCTAAAAACATCAAATAATGTTAAATACAATATTTTTCTAAATTTCAAACTTATTAAATAGATTATAAATAGCTTATTGCAATATAAAATTAATATTAAAATATTATTAAGTATTGAAAAAAATTTACACATCACGATACATAGATTAAACGTTTAATAAATCGAAACTGATCTAAATCTAAAAATATGTGAAAATCTAGAAAAGCAGAACGTTCGGAAATTTCAATTGTAAAGTTTTAAGGCACTTCTAAAGGTTAAGGGATTTTTGGGAATTCAAACATGAACTGAAAGTTATAAATAGATCAAATGCTAAATATCTTTTTACACATTGCACTTACAAATCTGACGGAAACTGAATATGTATTTTACTTTCACACATTTGTAGCATATAAGTATACTAGAGTAATTCTTAAATATCCAACATTTATTTCTATTATGCACCTCTTCTTTTTTATGTCATTCGATTTTCGTATTTGTAGAAATGGAAAAGTAGTACCAAACAAATTGATTGCTACTACCATACCATTTTTCCGAATACGAACATCGCTTCACGAAAATTGAATTACATAGTAAGGCCTTCTAAATTTTCGAAAATTCCCCTACCGTTAATTCAATATCAACTGTAAATTTTTTATACATATGAAGTAGGTTTTGATATTTAACATCATTTTTAATGGAATTCCCGACCGATATATATTTCAATATAATGGTATAAAAAAGGGGGCAAAGTAGAGGCGCGTTTAATTTTTTTTTCATATACCTATATAATTTTATGAATTGAAAATAAAACAATAATTAATAAAAATTACAAAAAGAAAAACATCAAGGGAATTATATATAAAGTTTTACAATTATATAACAATAAAATAACAATAGTTAATAAAAAAAAATAATAATAAAAATTTATAGAAGTACAAACATGTTAAGAACATATATACACACACAAATATATCATAGGAGTACATACAACAAAAAAATACAATATATCTTTAGTTGAATTTCTTTTTCTTATTTTTTGTATTTTTGTTTAAAATCTCTTTTATTAAATAAGCTGGAAACAAAAGTCCTTTTCTTTGTTTTGTTGTGTATACTTAATAATATATAAGTATTTTATTTTGTAAATTGTGTGTGCATCATTGATTTAAGCATATTTTTTTTGGTTGTAATTCTAAAATGAAAAAAAAAAAACAAAAATTAAATGAAATGTACTTTTCTTTGTTCTATAACAAAAACACAAATTTTAAAATACAAAAAGGACCACATCAAGATATTAGAAGAAGTGAAAAAATAAAGGCAAAAACAAAAAGCTTCTGACTACACACAGAAGAAAGAAAGCAAAATTTTCTTATAATTTTTCAAGTAAAAAGGAAACAAAAATTTTCAAATTCTTTAAAAAAACGAAAGTATCACATACTCATGAGTGACTCATAAAATGCATTTTGAACACTTCCTTTCAATTTTAAGGAAGTCAGCAAACTTTTAGCTAACATATCCAGAACAGTGTAAATTTGGCTCTTAACAACCAAAACTCAAATATCAAATTTCAAGAAATTCCATCCAGAAGTAGATATAGTAAAAAATGTTAGGTCGACCTCTAGTTCGGTTTCCGAGCCCTGATTTTCCCAAAAAAATTATATGTTCATTGATTTAACTTCTCGAATTTAAGTATTAAATTTCAAGGAAATTGGTTGATTATTTCTCTTTATATACGCAAAAATCTTAAATTGGCCCGCAAAGATGTCCAGTTCCTGAGATCTGATATATCCCAAAAGTTTATCAATCCGTGCCATAACCAAAATAAACTCATATAAAATTTCATCAAAATCGGTTCAACAGAACTTGAGATACACGCGTGCATACACAGACCGACATCTCTCTAAAAGTAGTTTACTTACGCTTCCCTACAATGGAGAAGTGCGTTCCGCCCGAAAATTTGACATCCAAAATATGGTGATATCACATAACCTACCTCATTGTATAAAATGCGGTCGGTAATTATGCTGAAAATTAATAGCGGTGCATGCAATTTTGATTTTTCTGCAAAATAATATTTTGATTTTAATTCACATTCAAAGGCATATTACATACAAATACAAACTACTACAATTGGACATATGCAAGTTATACAGGTATCCTGTGATATATTACACGATTTACGGATTATTTATCGTATTGAAGGTATGTAAATACTTTTTTAATTACATACATACGTATATTACCATTCTCTCATATATCAACGTTAATTATTTAGTTACTATTCGATTCAAAAATAAAAACCTTCAATTAAATAAAACTTAAAAAAAAATTCCATTCCTTTGGAAAGTTTAATTAGAAATAACTACATATAAGAGGTAGAATAATTATTAAACATTCATGTATGCTTGATTTTTCATTATCACATAACACAAATGTCTAGAATAACCTTTAAAATCAAATTGAAAATGTATTTCTCCTCAAACGTAATAATAATAGCCTCCAATTATTTATCGAAAATTAGCATTATAAACTACATACTTTTGTATATGATAGTCATTCATCTTCTTCCCACTTGGCACGAATCTATATACATAAATGTAATTTATAAAATATTTGACATAATTATGTTTTACCAATTTATTTAATATGACTTACATGTGTTAATGAAAAGGTTTAAAAAAAACATTTGATCTTAAATTTTATACAAAGAATAATTTTCTACAATATTCGACGTAGAAGATAACAAAAAATGTAAAATAAAACTTGCTCTTGTTTAAAATTATCAGAAAAAGTTTAATAGATTTCTGTATGTAAAGTTTGAAGAAAATTTCGTTAGTGAATGAATAAAGTACATATTATTGCCAAATCGTTACAAAAACAAAATGTAGTAAAATAAATAAAAAAAAAATTAACAAAAAATAATTAAATTTTTCTGGCACCATGTTAAAAAATTCATTTTGTTCCTTTTTCATACAAAAATATTCAAAAAACTACACGCAGACTCGTCTAACACAAAGGTAAAATACATTTTACTATATATGTATGCATTAAAAAATTTGCATTTGTATACACCAATGTAAACGGAATTACAGAATTTTGGATCCTGAGAGAGAGTAAAAACATATCACAATAGGCAAATTATATTATATATAGACTATGATCTTATTAGAATCATATATAGAGCTGGATACCTTTAAACTTTTCTAAATTTTGGACATTTTACTTTTAGACTTTTGTGTAAACAAAGATTTATAATTATAAAAAGTTTTTTCTATAATTAAGTTTTTGTAATGTAAAATATAAAATTTTAAGTTTTTAAATGGATATTATCCAAGTGTGGTCCTAATAAAACCTAAAAATCTAATGCATTATCAGCAAAGCAATCAATATATAATAGTTAGAATTAATAGAACATTTTAATAGTTAGAATCAATATATTTATCAACAGAATCAATATGTCAACAATTATTAAAATCGATAGAATATTTTAACATTTAGATAATTTCTTTTACTCATATTTTGCATAACATGTAACATAAAGTTAAAAATAGATTTGAACGTTATAAATACAGGGAATTTACTTTAAATACATTTACGTTGCAACCAATTAACTGTTCAACAAAATATTGAAAAACAAATTCAAAAGAGGCAACCGTTTAGATATCTCACTTTAATATAAATATTCACTATAGGCAGTGGATATTATATGCTGGCCACACTTCAATAAACATCAATTGCAATAAAATTTTATTTCATATCAAATAATGCAATATAACAGAGAACGAAATGCAAAGTAAAAGTAAAATATATTATAGGAGATTCTTCTAATTCACATTAAATATATTATGAGGACATCCTTATTTATGTAATTAGGTACCTACTTTTATAACTCACTCGTTGAGTTTTGCCAAATTACAAAAATGGAGTATTTAATTTTTACTTATGAAAATGTGAGCTTTAATATAGCTACTCAATTAATGTAGGTACTTTTAATAAATAAAATTGCATTCTATAAAAATAGATAAAAATTTTGTACCTGAGGTATTGAAATAATTCACAAATCACACATCCTTTTATTTAATTTCTTCTACTAATCCTTAACTAAGGTATTTTTTTCAATCTAATTAAAATCATACTAAAAACTGAAACTGTCAATATAAGTTACTATAGCTGGATTCATTGGTTCGCCGTCGTTTTTGAGCTGAGCCATTTGAAGTGAAACTATTTTTTCTCTTGATTGTTCATTGGTTCCTCGGAAAAAAGCTGATCGTTTTTTTTTTTTGTTCTAATGTATTAATTACGCCTTGACAAGAATTATATGTAATTGTAATAGTTCAGTATATGTATATCAATTTGACGTTTTAAAAAAAAACTTCGCACTAAAGTTAATTCAACTTTTTGAGAGAGAGAAGAAAAGCTGTACTAAAAGTACTGTAAAAAGAATGTCAAAAATCCAAATTTTCATGTAAAATACATCACTCATCAGCTCATCGTTTAACTGACGAACCAATGAATCCAGCTTATGTGTATAAAAATGAAAATAAAAGGATATACTTCTTAACTCTTTTAGCTAAGCGAATTTTTCCTATATAAAATTGGTGAATTATTGCAGTAGTGTGAGGTAAACGGCTTGAATTAGAAAAAGAAAGCTCAAGGTTCAATCAGTACTGACAACTGGTCATTGCTATCAACTT